TAGGCAGAAGGTTGTATGATCTATGATAGAAATCAAGGGTGTATTAATATCTTATTTCTATTTTTATGGGTTTTTTTAAGGGATAACTATCATACCCACAACGGGCTATAGACTGTGAGTGATAGTGGGATCTGGGACGTTGTGGGTTCTAGCACCCAGGTCCTAATATCCTTTTTTAGTTACATGCTGACTAGCTCTGCATATGTTCTTTTGATATCCCCAATGATTTTGGGAGCTATAATAGCAGACATTTTACAATTTAAAATAATACCTTTTGGACTTTTGTACACATGGTATAATTTTACTTTGTTATATTAGAACTTTGTTGGCGTGTTCACTTGCATGTTAGCGCGTACATCTACATGTACAATAAATAAATTGTAGGTTATACTACGTATATATATATACATTTGCATGACATATTCTTAAGCCTACGCTGTTTAATGTATTGTAATTTTGAGAAGTAAGATTTTCGATTGTAATGTTAATGTACAGTATTCAGAGCTCCGAATCGGCGACAAAACAACAGCCCCGACAAAGTAACCCATTTAACGTTATTCATATCGTGACAAAATAAATGAAACATTTTAAGTTTAGGGCTACAGAAACGATTCAAGGACATTAACTAAAACTAAATGCATGTAGACAAAAATATAGAGTTTATCCTTTTTTGTGAATAACTTCTCAAAAGTTCGAATTTATTCTCTCATCATTTAAATACGGGATTATCTCGTATTGAAAATATTTCATTTGGTTTGGTTTATCTCTATATGACTTTAATAGTTCTTGAATTAAAAGAACGAAACCTTTTCGGGTTAAGAACGATGACATAAAAATTCTACGTGTTACAGAAGTCAGAAATTTTAATGACTTTATTTGGAAACAGGACATTAGTATAATTTCATCATAAGTCCAATGCGATCATGTGGAAAAAAAATGACGTAAGACAAATGGAAATTTCAAACATTTAATGACCTACCGGGAAAATTAAAAACAAAATATTCTCATCTTAATCTATATTAAAAATAACATGATAAAAAGCTTATAAATCTTGATGTTATTGTTTGATAGAACACATTGGGCGAATCAAGTTGCCATAGCCGTGTTAATAGTAGTTTATATAAGTTTTGACATGAGCTACAAGAATGTCAAATCTAACGAGGAGACTTATCTACATCTGACAATTCTAATTCCTTTTTTATTTCAGCTTTATAAATTTCAGGACGTTGAAAGAAATGTTTAGTGACACGTACACGTATTAAGTTTTGTTAGAGCATCATAAACTAAATTTTAAGCAGCACTTTTAATGGAACACAGTATTGCACAACCCCTTGTGCGTGATTTATTAGTTAGCAAAAAACGTTGTGCAATGCACTAAATAAAGAAAACTTTAATCTTTTAGTAATCCACTTTATTTATCGGTTATTATTCTTGCATTGTCAGTTGTGACACGTCCTTTAATATACAACTTTTCATAATGCACACAAAATATTTTAATATTTGTCCTTGCTCAAATCAATTGCTTACAAATTTTTAATTCCTAGTACGATAAAAATTACCGTTAAATTCAAGAAATCAAACAATTTTTTCAAGGTTATTTGGTCATGCAAGTCTCTACCAGCTCTAATTGACTCCTATTCAATAAGTCGTCACGTATTAGTAAACAAACAGTCAACTCAACACGATTCAATGCGTAATTTACTCTGACAAGTAAACTATTGGAATAACTTGGAGTTATTAGACAGGAATAGTAGACATGATTATTTTTCTAGGATTCCACTTCAAGTCAAAACAAATCTTCAAACTTTTGGCATAGAAAGAAGACACTTAATGGGCACATATTACGAAAAACTCGGTGAGTATTTTTTATTGTTAAAAGTTGTTGTAATATTCAAGTTCAATTAAAAATGCAAATATGATG